CTCAATGAACACAAAGACCACGCCGAACCAGGCCAGATGGACTCTCTTTGGGCTAGGTACGTTATGCTAATGTAAGTTACACCGCTTTAACCAGAAACACTCACTAAAAATAAAAGAAGCGGATTAACTCGTTAATTCAACGTCACTGTTCACAGAAAAAACGACCAGCAAACCGCGCGAAACGGGTCTAATGCGCGTGGCGCACGTCAACGTGGTTTCGCCGCTGATCAATGACTCGGCTAAGAGGCTAACGCCCCATTCTTCCGTATAACTAAATATTTGACACACACAATATAACAACGACCACGACTGATATCTAGAACGTAACAAAGCGGAGGAAAAGGGTCTCGTGCGGTTTAGCCAAAGTTTCTCACGTGCCTCTTTTCAGTCAAGTCACTGCGCGCGGGGAAAGGCCTCCCGCGTGCGGCGCTGTGCAGTGCTTGCTCGCGGCCTGCAAACTAGAGAGCAGCTCCACAAGCCACCTTAAAGAACCACCGCAACACGCTTTCTCAAGACGACCCGGTTACGTTCAACAGCAAGACACACGCTTTCAAGCCCGACAGCCTTTTAAAGACAACACCGAGACAGGAAAGGTCTGTGTAATTTTTCGTCACAGTTCGAACACGCTCCATGCAGCACTTACTTCCAAGAAAAAAAAGGAACGTCAACACGCATGCGCGGCCAATTTTAATACGGCATCCGTACGGTGGGCGGGATTCCTCTTCTTCTGCGGACACTAAAGTGTGTGCTTAGTGCCTCACAGCGCTTAGGATCGTGATAGTGCCGCTTTCATTTCAAATGACATTTCAGCCAGTATGTATATAGCATAGGTATATACAGTGTTGGGGGTAACGCATTAAAAGTAACGTGAATTACGTAATCAGATTACTTTTTTCAAGTAACTAGTAAAGTAACGCATTACTTTTTAATTTACAAGATAATATCTGAGTTACTTTTTCAAATAAGTAACGCAAGTTACTTTGTTTTTCCATTTATTGATTGACAGCTCTCCTGTCCCCATGTCGAGAAATCAGATGTTACTGTAGTTCTAAAATAAATATGAATATGCATTAATTCATCTCACTCACACACACACACAAAAAAACACAGATTCAGTATTCCTCAAAATGAATAAAAAAAATGCAACTCAGAATATGACGCAAACCTGCAATAGTTAAATGTTAAACAACACAAATATCCTTTATGTATTTAATCCCATTCTATTAAGCAATGTCTTCGCTTCTGACCTTCGATGATCCAGTTCAACCGTACTAATAAGCAAAAATTACTCTAGACAAACATTTGTGTGTCTTTTTTATTGCTGAAGTGTGTTGAAATTTCTTCTTCTGCATTCTACTGTACGACGTAAATTAAATTTCCCTTCGGCCTGAGGCTTATTCATTTCACTTTTGGTGTGAAAAGGCTTTTATATTTGCCAAAAATATAACTTTTTTATTTTAAAAACAAACAAGCAAGCCCTGTCCAGATTTTAAAAAGTAACGCAAAAGTAACGTAACGCATTACGTTCCATAAAAAGTAACTAAGTAACGTAATTAGTTACTTTTTTTATGGAGTAACGCAATATTGTAATGCATTACTTTTAAAAGCAACTTTCCCCAACACTATATACACTACCAGCCAAAAGGTAAGAATAATTAAGTTCATGCTTGCAAAATGATTTCTGAAGAGTCACGAGTGACACTGAAGACTGGAGTAATGGCTGCTGAAAATTCAGATTTGCCATCACAAAAAATAACATTTTAAAATATATTAAAATAGAACAGTTATTTAAAATTGTAATAATATTTCACAATATTAATGTTTTAAATAAATGTAGCCTTGGTACAGACTTCTTTCAAAAACGTATTCCAAACTTTTGGCTGACGAGAGAGAAAGAGAGAGAGGCATATTTTGTAGGCTATTTCAATCAAGTAATAAAAAATATACAATATAACAAATTATATACTCCATAAATGAGTCAAAACTGCAGTTACACAACGGCTTTCGAGCAGTGGTCTTGTTTTGTATTCAAACAACTAGTTAAAAAATGTCAATTCGGTATAAATTTTGTGAATTCTGACCTTTAAACGAGCATCTTAAAGACTTGTATAACACATGCATATGACAAAACACAATATATGCATTATTATTATTATAAAAATATACAATCTATTTTATACATAATTTCATTTATAATTATTTATTTTTATAAAATAATATTACAAATTATTATAAAAATAAAGTATAACAGCACACAGGGTCTGGTTCGATGTGTCAGTTTATTGTTTTTAAAAAGCAAAGAAACTGACTGTTTTAGGTGACAAGTGAACACAATGGGCGAGTTTCCAAAATCAAATCAAATATTTCCATTTATCCATTTCACATTCTTCTCATTCAGAAACGCTTGACTCCATCTGAATAAGATCAAAAACTGGAGTTTCAGTCAAAGTAGAAAAGGGTCTAACATGAAGACTGACAAAATCAGTTATGCTCATTATTGCTAATAACTTTTCTAGACTGATCCACCAACCTGCTTTGCCATCACATTTAATATGCAGTCTTCTCTCTGTGATGTTCCTCTTTAAACATAAACACACTGAATATTGATTAACAAGACTAGAATAGAGCCACAAACAACCCTATTAAAACATTTGTGCAGTTATCAGGGGTGAATTTAATTTATAAGGAAAGAGCACTGAACAATACTGCATTAAAATAAGAAAACAAACCAACAACTTATAATAATAAAAAACAAACAAGTTAAATAAAGCACTCATATTAAAGCATCTCTGACATTATAATATAGATTTCATAGTTCTTTCAAACTAATCAATAATACGCTAAAATAATCAATCCCTTAAAAAATAAACAGCAATAATACTGCCGCTTTCTAAATACAATGAGATACCAGCATTAAAGCACTGTACAAAACAATAAATAAAATGGATCAGAATATCAAGAAAACTGGATTGTAAAAAGTTTTACGACCATAAAATATTAGGTTTAGAAGATTCGGCTTTTTTTGTAGATGACACAAAAGGGATTTGAGTGACTTTGTTGTTTGTTTGATTTATAATATGTAATAAATTGTAAGCAATCAAATGTAACACCAACTACAAGGACTAGGCTCAGATTAGATGAGATCACCATCTCTTAAAAGTCCAGGCTACATTTAAAGTTACATTTGGAACAAAACTCTAGTTTAATAGCCTTAAAAATATATTTATAAAATACTACAGCCTGCATATTTTATGTACAAAACATGATATGCCCAGTTTCAGCTTCAAATGTCTATTACAGAAGGCTTGTAATCTTGAAACCTCACAATTTCTCATTTTAGTGTAAGAATGCCTGTATTATGTCTTTAACTGGTGGTTTTACAGGCTTAAAAAATAACAATTAAAAATGGTATGTTTAAATCACACACACACACACACACACACCGGAACAAAAAAAATAACATGCAGCCAGTATCCAGAATGCTCGGTTGTGCTATAAATCTCAAAGTTTAATACACAAAAAATAAGAGAAATACAGAAATAAAACAACAACTCACTCGGCCTGAATATAAAGGATGTACTTACAGTATTAATGTCCATATTAAGAACGAAAATGAGGTCAAGCACACATCAAAAGACTTTCCACCACTGAAGGTGGTGCACGAGAGATGAAGAAATCAACCGACCTCACAATTGTGTTGATAAAATGAATGGGAAGACCAAATAAGTACTTCACACCTGCGCACACACACACATCCACTCAGTTCACAGTTTGATGGACAAAAACATGAAGTCTCAAAAGATCCTAGTTGTGTCAGGTGAATTTCACACTCTTCCGCATCATTTGGAAGGCCTTCAAGTCTATTAATGGGCGATTCTGCAGTTCGAGGCATTTTTGAGTAGGTGTAATCCTAAAAATGTAACGTCACTGAACTGTTTAATATAAATTACAATATATATATACGATATTTTTGAAACTTTCAAGTAGATTTTGAAATAATGTGAATAAAGTTGTGTGCTTGTTCTTAAAAAAAAAAAAAAAAAAAAAAAAAAAAAAAAAAAAAAAAAAAAATCACAATAATGTAAAAATCTTTAAATTAATTGATAAAATACGATTCTTGGCATGGCGGTGATGACAGTAGTACTGGATTAAGAAAAGTTATAAAAATGAAATTGTACACACAATTTTTTTTTTTAAAGATTTTCCCTTTAAAATCATCCTTGGGTACTGAAAAGTTGCCCTAATTGAAGAATCACCCTAATATGAAGTGTAAGCTTGATTTGGCTGTTTTACAAGACATTGCACCAAGATTTTTTATTTATTTATTTATTTTTAAAGCATCCATTTGTGAATATTTCTGTCTGGCACTCCACACTCAAATCACCTCTCAGTCTACATGGAATGACACCCCTCCACTGTGTCACTTACAAAGGTTTAATTTACGGCATCAATAATCATTACCCACATAGAAAACTGAACCGGTCCAGGTGAACAGAAACGAGGTAGCCTAAAAGGACGCTCTACTCACAAAACACTACCTTGCGTTCACTGATTCATGTGATTCACACAGAGGAGGTGGATCTTACAGAACCACAAACAGCATCGCACATTTCTGTCACACCCTCACAGTTCCTATGCATTAGAATCGGAGGCGGGACTCTTTTCCAAAACGGAAGTGGATATTTACAGAAGGTGGTCGGGAACGCCCCTCTAGAAACATTTGGCGAACAATCGACTCACCAGGCTCAATTCCCTTTGCCTTTATTGCACTTTACTGAAAGTCAAGAGAAAACGAACTAAAAAATACAAAACTGCAGCACATCCTAATAACACATGTTACTCCTGATATGAAAACAACTGAGATTGCTGGTATGTTAATGGTAACATATCTACTTTTTTGTATCGTTGGTGGAAAGCATTATATTTCATCATTCATTCACATACACACACTCTTACAAAGAAACTGTGACACTCTAAACAGAATCTTAACATACTTTTTTATGTTTCAATAGAAAGCTCTGTAGTATTGACCAATCAGTTGAAGTATTCAGACTGTTTCTTAGCAGTTAGCACTGTGATAAAGCGTTCAAGAATCATCTCTGCAGACCAGCTTCACCCTCAAATGTTCTCATAGGGCCAGTAAAAATAATTAAAGTAATAATTCACCCAAAAATTACTCACCTTATTGTCTTTTTTGTCTACAACTTTTTTGTCAATGTCCAGGCTGTTATTTGTGACCAGAGTTGTCAAGTAGGATTTTCAACAACTTTTTTGAGCCTGCTCCTCACACAAAACATCATATGGCTTCAGAAACTAGAAATATAGTGCACACTGATTACTTTTATGATGTTTTGGAGCTTGACAGCTTCTGGTCACCATTTACTCTCATTGTATGGAAGAGAGTAGCTCGAACACTCTGCTAAATGTCTCTTTTTGTGTGTAACTGAGGAATGAAAGTCATACAGTTTTGGAACATCATGAGGGTGAGTATATGAGAAAATAATTTTAATTTTAGAGTGAACTATCCCTTTAATTGCCAAAATACCCATAACACAAGTTGTAAAGACAATGGAAATGAATGGGAAAAGGTCTGATCTACATCTCCCTGAGCACAAGGAAAACAGTGCCAAACCACAGGTTCCAAATGTGAATACTATAGAGCTTTGGGCTAAAACTAGGAATGCACAGTATGAGTATTCAGGATAATTTATATTTCCATTATACGTCCATATCAGCAGGCATCAATTTCCATCCAAAAAAGTAGCATTTTCCCTTCCTTACAGAAATATGCATAAACATCAATATATTATGGACTTAAAAAAACAAAAACAAGCAGCTTTGCGAATTTATATTTAAGGCATTCTGTGGACAGCCCAAAGTGTGTCTGCTCCAACGTAATGTGGCAAAGTATCATACAAGTCTTAAATATCAGACATTCGAGTGATATCCCACATGACACAAACATCTGTGTGCATTCCAAGCTGAAACATAAAAAAGAAATGAGGTTGATCACACAAACCAGCCTCAATGGATTCATCCCACAAGGGAGGTTTACTGACGTTCAGCGTAACCATGATAAATTATTGTCAAAAAGTGTCTTAACAGTACAAATATTCACTCTATTCTGTGGGTCTTATTCCCCATATTTCCAGTCTTGACCTCCAGAAGAATCTAGATACAGATTTTTTAACGACAAAAACACCAGAACCCCACGCATGTTAATGAAAGAGCCATAAAAAATAATGCAGACCAGTTGTTCTTCTCCGGCGCCCCTTTTTTGGTTGGTGGGGACGTGCGGATTTTGGGTTTGTCTTTGACTCTTTTGAGAAGGTCCCAGCAAGGTTTGGTCTTTTTGCAGTCTGCCAGATTATCCAGCACACCTGGATTTTCCCGTCTTTCCTTTTTTCACACTTTTCAATAAAGTAGAATAGGTCCACAGATACAATGCAGGGATGGGCGGGGATGAATTACCAATTCATCATGGAGTTTCTGTTCAAGGTCATGAAGAAAACTTGGCTGCTGCCTCCGGATCTGACTGAGGCAAAGAACACCTACAAAAAAAGAAGAGTTCACATGGAGGAATGGACGTTATTATATTGCCTATTATTCACATTTAAAGGACCAAACTGTTACAATCTACTGCCTTAGGTGACTGACTACATTCTATTTCCATTCAGGCATTTATTTTTATTTTGGTATTTTTACCAAGGCAATATTTCTCATTTTCATTTTTTTAACTTGATGTACTATAGTATTTCTAATAAAATGATAAGAAAAAAAAAAGTTTAAAAATTACAAAAAAACAAAACTTTAAAATCGAAATCAAGTGGAAAATATAAAAATAAGAACTCATTTGAAATATGAATAAAACTAATAGAATATCAGACACTATAACAGCTAACAAATGTCGTGGTAGTATAAAAATCAAGAAAAACTGAACACACTTTCCTTAAATTTTCTTATATTTGATTTTAAATGTTGATTATATGATTACATTATGTGAATATACATATCTTGACCATTATTTAAAAAAAAAAGTCTGAAGCAGTCAAGGTAAAAAAAAAGCATTCAAAGATTTTTGAATACTGAATATTATATATAAATAAAAACAAATATAATGTCTAGAAGTGCTTACATTTGAAATATTGTTAACTGTACTCAAAATGAGAGAAAAAGTAAAATTAATAAAATAATGAATAAATTATCAATAAATTAATAAATCAAGACAAACAAAATGAGCATCATGTCACTGGCCCATAAAGACTCACATAATTTAAAGGTGAAGTGTTTGAATTTGAAATATTGTTAATTGTACCAAAACATAAATAAATAATAAAAAAAATTTAAAACCTGTAAAAACAAAGACGACTTGCATAATTTAAAGATGAAGTGTTTTATTTTTTAAACATTTGTTAACTACCAAAAAATGAGAGAAAAAAAATTATATTAAGTTCATGCATGGCAAGTTGTATCATCGTGGTAACGTACTTTATCGTTTCTTTCTGAAAGGAACTTCAGTCGCTGTGCTCGCTTGTGCATGAAAACTCCATCGAGGTGTCCCGTTTCCACGGAGCGGATCTCAATGGCTTTCTCTCCCCAGCCCATGATCTGGCTGGAGTGGATGTAGGCTGCAGAAGGGGAGGGGGAAGCGAATATATACAAAAGACAAAAGAAACATATGACAGGAGAGCGCTGACACCAAATGCAGTATATCATCAGAACACCCCGTTCCTCAACGACTTCTGACGTCCAACAGCAACTCCAAACTAGCCCAGATCCAATGAAAACAAGCCTGCCAAAGCCACCCCACACCAGGAGGTCATTATTGCAGCAGTTTCTGAGCATCACAAATTAAAATCAGGATTGAAGTACCAGTGGCTATGGTTATTATTAGTCAAAGATCCTTCTGCCATCAAGTACAAGGAACTAGCATCCAAATCCAGAGTTCTTTGGATACTCATGAACAAACATGAACTTTCTCCGAGGACTTTCTGTGGCTGATTTAGAGACCTTCATAGAGATAATAATGATCTGGTTGTTTTGACTTCCTTTTTCTGCTGATATCTTGTGTAGAAAATGCATGAGTTATGAATTTTACTTTGTTATGAGTGCAGAATCACTGAAGAGTTGAAAATAATTTGGCTGAAACATTAATTTGTTTAGAACTGAGGGTGTGGG